TCTTAAAAACCTGTGAGAAACATGTATATAACCTGAACAATTTCAAGAGAATTATTGGTGTGCTACCGCCACGTGTTCAAACGTTAAGGCTATCTCAGAAATTTGCAGCGGAAAACCAAAACAGTTTTAAATAAACCTCAAAACAAAGGAATTAAATCAAAATAAGTATTACAAGTTGGAACCATTAAGGCCCTTATTCAAAACCCAATAAAAGTAGTAAGTGATTAAATTCAGAGTTCCAATAATTTCAAACCCAAAAGAATTAGTGTCAACTAAAAACGAATTAAAATAAATTCAAACTTTGCAAAATAAATAATATGGAAACATCCAACTCTCTACTCAAGATCCCACAACCCTGATGAATGCTGCATGTGTAAGAACATGTGGTTATTCTGCTCCTCAATATTACAAGTGTAAAAATTGGATCGTCACAGGGTAATTAAAAGGCGAAGGCCATGACCAAAGAAAGACACACACAAAAGCACGCAGTCAGCAAAGCTGAGTACATACAAGCTGCGAAACAAATTGAGAAAATACCTAACATGCTACTAATATTCAAGCACAATCATCATGAAATATAGACTCAATTCACGACTCGATTATCAAATTTATTAAGACCTCACTAATTAATATTAACTGACTCGTTTATTTATTTCATTGGATTTAGCAATAGACAAGGTTGTCCAACCCATGTCCCATTTGGAACATCAATAAAGAAAAACACCATGCCTCCTTTCGAAAACATAATAAACATCCAACGACCACGGGCGCGACTCTGTGACCGTAGTTAGTATGAGATCTCACCTAACTCCTAGTTTTAGAAAAATAATATTTGAAAGAAGAGACTCGTAGATCAGACGGCCTCGATAAAAGTACACGGCTAATACCCCATGTACCCCAACCCCTGATTGTCATTACTCCAGATGTGCACCATTCCAGAGTTTTATTGCTCATCCATCTTGCACTTTACGTGATTTACAGGTTTAGACTTAGTGATGACTCTTATACATATCAATAAAAACATCCCAAAAGCAAATCAATCAAACATGGCAAATTCTCAATTTAGATTCTTAATTTATTAGTGACAAACAACATTTATTAATTATTCCATTACTATGTCGGTGTATAAACACCTTGAGTGCATAAGGCACCCCAAAACCTTAACCTCGTCTTACAAGACTTGAATTTCTCCTTTACTCATCCTGTTTACATAATCATGAACGAGTAATAATTTGATCTTCACACCAATCACATACCTTTGCCTTTAAGCGCACCTTGCATAATTAAAGCACAAATAATACTTGCATTATAAACTAGTGCACATCATTTGAAATTCACAATGTATAACCAAACAATTTAACCCAGTCAATCCTATACATGATACTAAGTTCTCGATCCGTCCTTAAACATGCACCTACAAGCAAGGTTTCGTATCTTGTACATACCTTGTGTAAACAATCCGATTGGCCACTTTAAAACTAGAAGTCGCCTTCTACAAAGTCCTCTCCTAAACTAAACAATTAGAAATAAATCAATACCAAAGCAATTAAAATTACAGCAATACTAAACTACTTTAAAACCTCTTAAATCACCAAAATAAAGTCTTTAGATTGTCCCCAAAAATCAAAGTTAGTAATATAACATCCCAACTTTAAGTTTACATGTTAGAATTATGAAAATATAGTATTTTATATCAAATTACAGCAACTTTAAAGTGGGTAAATAAATCTGGAATTTTGTTTTAAATATATAAAATAACCCCATAAGCATAATTACTTGAATTAGTCATTATATAGCAAGTTAGTGTGTTAAAAACCCAAGAATATATCAATTTAATGAAATTAGAGGCTTCAAAATAAAAGGTATGAAATCTGGAAATTATTTTTAAAGTTGGAATATAAAGTTCAAAGCTTTTTCAATCACAAAATACTCACAATGATTATTTTGTAGGTTTAGAAGCATAAAAACACGAAATTAACACTACTTGTTCATAAAAATTGAAACTTTAATAAATCTGAAAATTTATTTATGATTAAGATAATTATATTTTAATGTAATATAAACATAGTATGATTATATAGTTTGTTTAACACGTAATCAAGCCTTAAAACATGAAAAATCAATGTTTTAAACCCTAAAATATGCAAAATACATAATGTGAAATTTTATTTAATAATTTAGACATACAAAATCCATAAATTTATAATCTTTTGTAATTTATACATACTATTAAGGCCTAATAACAATAATTTTATAATTGAAAACAAATAAAAATTGAATCTTTAATCAACATAACAAGAAATAAGAGGAAGAGAAATAGGGGGAAGGAGAAGGGAGGAAGGCGAACTGCAGGGAGGGAGGTCGGCTGTTGGGCGGCGCGGCGGTCAGAGGGGCGGCGGTCAGGCGGTGGCGCGGCGGTGCTAATGGCTGGGCAGCGGTGCAAGGTTTTTTTTTTCTTCTTGCTGAATGTCGTGAAGAGGGAGGAAGCAAGGAGTGAGTTTTCTTCTTTTTTTTTTTCTTACGTGAGAAGGAGGAGAAGTGTGGGGAAAATAAGGTGGGTATGATTAATAAGAATTGGGTTTGAGGGTATCCTAATCCAAATATAATTAGGATAACTTGTTTAGGCCCAAATATATACCAAAGCTTAAAAAAAACATGTGGTGTAAGGTTGGGCTTTGAGGTAACTTGGACTAGGCTCTTAGTTTGTATGGGTAAAAGGATTATTGTCAATAGTTAGTAGTGGCTAAATAGCTTAAAACTAATTTATTATTTTCGAAATATTTATAAAATTATACAATTATCGTAAAATAATCATATAATTAATAATAAAATATAATTATTATAATTACAAAATCATGGGGGACTACATGCACGTTAGTCAGAAAGCGCACGTGAATACGAGAAGAATAAAGTAGAGGCCTATTATTAGGGCAGGTTCAATCTCTTTTAGGTTGGATTTGTACCTTCATCCCCGAACTTCCAGTCATGGTTCCAGACCTATTGGAGTAAACGATCTCATGGATCGTTAAGGGGTGTAACCTTCACCCTGTGAACGGTTTACAGGTTCCTAAAACTTGTTGGCGACTCTTTTGCTCTAGCTTCCTTCCCTTTGGACGCCACCATGCTTTAGTGTATGATCACAGTGGGGTTCAAGTTTGGGGTAATGCTTGAAATATTCCCTACACTATCCATACAATGCATTAAACCCCCCTAAACCAAAACAAACCAACAACAACAATGAGACACAGAGCCCACTTGCTTAGTTTGATATCTCCACAGTTGTGCTTCATCTTCAACATCACATACTTAGGGCCTGTTCTTATTAACTGAACTCAACTGAACTGAACTGAACTGAACTAAGCTGAACTGAACTGAACTGAACTGAACTGAACTGAGCTTAACTGAAATGAATATTTTATAAGAGAAGGAATTTAGGAGCTGAACTAAACTGAACTGAAATGAATATTTTATAAGAGAAGGAATTTAGGAGCTGAACTGAACTGAACTGAACTGAACTGAGCTGAACTAAAATGAATATTTTATAAGAGAAGGAATTTAGGAGTTGAACTGAACTGAATTGAACTGAACTGAGCTGAACTGAACTGAACTGTACTGAACTGAGCTGAACTGAACTAAGCTGAATTTCAACGTAAGAGAACATACCCTTAGTCTTAAATTTCCTTGATTCCTGATTCAATGATGCCAAATGCTTCTTCATAATCTCATTCTCTGCTCTCAGTTCCTGCCTTTCTTCCAAAAGCCTTAGTATGATGTCCCTTTGCCATTAAGTCATTTCTTCATTATGCTAGTAAAAATGATTACATGCCCTACTGTTTGTTTCTACATCAAAATCTAGGCAAGCAATAAATCGTCTTCCTGGATTCTCTTTTGTCCAAGAGGTCATCAATGAAGTGTGTAATCCGCACCTACAAAGCCTTTTACTTGAGCAATTTGCATACTCATCTGCAACTAAAACCAATTGCTATTAAAGGTTTAGTTCTGCTCAACTCTTCAATTATGTAAAAAAAAAAGCCCAAACTTAACAATAAACCCTAAAAAATTTGTCAATTTATCACAACATTGAAGGAAATTAATCAATTACCTTTTCAACAGTCTTCCTTTTGCAAGCTGAAGTGTTCGATGTGACAGGAGGATAAATGATTTGGTGATTTATAGAGGAAAGGATGAGAGGATTAGGGTTGATAATGGTGAAGGATTCGTTGAGAAGTTGAATTGGCTCTTCTCATTTGATTTATATCAGATGAGTTGTCGGGGTAAATCGTGTTAGTTAATTTGTGTTAATTAAGGTTAATTAAGGGGTAATTTTTAAAAAATTGGGTTGGTTAGGTTAATTATACCAGAGTTAGGTTTATGTATGGTTAAATGTGGGTTAAAACATCATAAGGTGAATTAAATCACCGGAAAGTACACTTGGGTAGTAATCGGTGCAATTTAGGTGAATTTGGGGTAGTAATTAGAAACTTTTTTTTTAGGGGTAGTAAGTGACAAGGCTACTCTTTTTGAGGTAGTAATTAACAAATTTTCCTAATATATATTAATTAAACTCATTACAAGATATGTTGTTTTGCCATGTGTCATCATTTTGTCATTTGGCATATGATATGTCGTCAAATCATACCATACCATTAATAATTGAAAAACTTCATGCATTAACCTCAATGTATTAATGTTTAGTTTAATTGATAAACTCTTCATATGCATAACAATTTTCCTAGGAATTAATGTAATTCCTTAATAATTACACAATAAAAAATAAAAAATAAAAAAATTATAAAAAATTAAACATACTCCATATTTATTAATGACCGGGACATCGCCCGGGTCCATAACTAGTTTTGGCTTAAATCCAATTGTTTCCATCATAGCATTAAAATTGTTAACTAGTCCAACGTCAAATTGTCAATATTGTCCTACACTCTAAACCCCCATTATTGACAAATTAGTCAAAATACCTCTCTTAATCATCCTTTTTTTATTCCATAACCCACAATACCTAAATAAAACCTCTGAAAACAACCCATCATCTTCTTTGTAACTACATTATTTGATTCAATCAAACTTTTTTCTCAAACTTGTCTTTTTCATTGCCCCATTTTTTTTGGCTATTTGACACCTAAAATCCCACAAGAATCATGGGTCATGTGGTTCCCAATAATCCCATTTACTCGTTTTGGTAAACCCCACAAAATTCATGTATTTAGGAATCCAAAATTCTAGAAACTAATTTCTTCTTTGAATCTTCTACATCTTTCTCCTTCCCTGTAATTGTGTATACCTAAATTGGAGAGAGAATGGAGAAGATACCAACATGGCAAGTAGAAGTTCTTTGTGGAATTGTAGCATGGATTATAATTTCATCTTTTTTGGGTTTAACTCGAAAGATTAGATCTTTGTTACAACCTTGGGTTATACACCATGTTAAAACTGGCATTCCTCTTGTTCTTCAGATCCAGGTTTTTTAAAAATTATTCTAATTTTTTTTGTTGATTTAATGCTTTTTAATTGATTTTATGAAGTGGGTATTGTTAATTTTGGTTGAATTTTTTGTAAATATGCAGAAATCACGGCATAAATTTTATGATGTTCTGTTTACTGTGCTATCATGTGTAGTTTCTGTGCCATTCTATACTGGTTTCCTTCCTCTCCTTTTTTGGGTATGTTTTATGTTTTTTTTTTAAATAATTTTTTTAAAATTTATTTGTTTAAAATAAAATAATAAATAATGGGTTTTTGTAAAATGATTATGGCCAATTTTGGTTAATGGGTTTTTGGTTTTGGATGAAAATATTGCAGAGTGGACATGGGAAGCTAGCAAGGCAAATGACACTTTTAATGGCTTTCTGTGATTATGTTGGAAATTGTATAAAGGTATAATATGGTTCAAAGTTAACTATATGTGTGAGAAATAGAGAATAATATTCAGGTGTTTCTATTAAATTTTGTGTATGTTTAGGATGTAATTTCGGCTCCAAGGCCAAGTTGCCCTCCTGTTAGGAGATTGATTGCTACTAAAGATGAAGAAGAAAATGCACAGGAATATGGTTTGCCTTCATCTCATACCCTCAACACAGTTTGCTTATCTGGGTAATAATATTTTTTCTAAGTTTCCTGGTAGTTGATTTTATAAATAGCTACAGTTGTCACATGATTACTGCTTCAAATTCTAGAAGTGCTCATAATGTATGTATTGTATTTGCCTATTAGTTCAATCTACTTTAAGGCTTTTAGAAAAAGCTTTCCAGTGAATAGGCAATAGTGTGTATAGAATATGAGTCATAGCTCTAGTTAGACATATAACTCGAGCTAATATATTTCTTACAATAGTTGATAGAGAAAGCTTGCATTCAGGCTTTGTATTACCTACAGCTTTTGTCCATATTAGTCCCAAGTCTTCAGATTCATGCAGAGAAGTGGAAATAATTAGTAAGGAAAGTGATAGAAGTTTAAAGGAAATGAACATGCTTGCATTTGTAATTGTGTTACCTTGTTTGATAGAAGGCAATATAATGCTCTATATGCTGCATCATTGTGAAATTACGCATGTTTCATAATCGTCAATTCGTCAGAATCAAAGAGCCTTGGTGTATAATCAGAGCAAAGCATCAAATCATAGAAGTAAGACGTTGAGTCATTAGGATACAGGCTTTATATCTCTTTTGTTGTCTTCTCCAGTGGAAAGTGGTTAGCTGACCTCTTATTAGCAAAGAGTAATAATGCAGAAAATGTTGTTGAGTCCTAACATGACTTAAGAGCTTCCTTAGTATCTTATGGTGGTCATGTTTATTGGGTATCGGGCCAATATTCCTCACTTCAAGAGTTCAAGTGAAATTGACTTGAGCTCTATATGTTCTTGTCATTTTTTTTTGTGCCATAATTTTGATGGGGATGCTAGTTATTAACTCCCTTTTATTGATTGGCATAATGCATTAGAATTCTGTTCTCTTTTAAAGCGTCTGTGTTGAATAATTGTTTCTAATTGTGTCTTGGAATATACAGGTTCCTTTTGTATTATGTTATATCATATAACCAAAGAAGTGTTGGTCCGGAAGAATTTGCTGGTCTTGCTGTGGTTTGCTTGCTTGTTGGCCTTATAGCCTTTGGTATGTCTTGAGATGAACTTACATGTGGTCGATTCACTAGATTTCCTGACATTTATATCTTGATGTTGAGATGTACTTTTTTTTGTTAGGAAGAATCTACCTTGGCATGCACAGTTTGATTGATGTCATAGGTGGGTTGATTCTTGGATTGACAATCCTTGCGTTTTGGCTCACATTCCATGAATATGTTGACTCTTTTATCACTTCTGGTAAAAATGGTAAGCATGATTCCATTTGATGATTCAAAGCTCATCCTCTTTTGTTCTGCATTCAGATGAAATTAATGATCAGTTTAATACATGCTGAAGTAAATCCGAAATAAAAGCCATTCAATTAGATCTTTTAAATATAAGATGATTGAGATCCAAAGAGAAGTTAATCTCCAAACCAGAATATGCCTGGGATGAAAGAGGGTGTAACATCTAGTATTGAAGCTATGGTGGAAGATAACTATTATTTTATATATAGTTAGGGTTTTAGGGAGGATAGTTTGTCACTTTCAATTGGGAATATTATGTTTCCCTGATCTTCCCTTCAGCTTTTATTAGCTCAGCACTCCTGCTTCATCCCTTTTTCATGTAATAGCGAGTCGGACACTTGGACATGTACCCATAATCAGCTGAATTGCAGAAAACTATTGAATATAACATGTCCATAATCACTTGGAATTCAGCTGTAGTAGTTGGTAATGAAGCACAACTCTTGGATCCATTTTTGGCTTAGAAGGGAGGTGACTTAAGCTGTTACTCCTTTTAAAAACAAATGTCCTATACTTGGTTTGATCTTTAAGTACTTGTGCAATTCAAAATAACTGATGCATTGTTATCTGCGTACTGTATGTGGAAAGCTTTGTAATTACATTAAATTTGAAAGAGTTACAAGAGGATTGTTTGATGGACTTTAATGTTTCTATTTTTGAATAATTGCAATCTTTAGAGTGATTGTATTATAGCTTCACTAGGTTAGATCCTGTGTAATAATGCACGGTTGTTAAAGTTCCAATATATGTCATATTATTATAAAATAAACTCTTGCTATATTGATTTAGTACAATTAAGGCAATTTACATTTTAGCCAATCTTTATTTATCTTATTAAAAATTTAAATTAAATAATTTAACAAAAAAAAAAAAATCAAAACTAAAAGACACACAAGGAGACGACACGTGTCATTGCTGGTGTGTCTTTTAGTATGTAGTTATTGATACGGTAGGATATTGGCATATTGCCCTGGAATGAACTAGGGAAGATTGGAAGAACAGCATGTTAATAGGGTGCTCTACACTGTACCTTCTTGGAGTTTTGGGCGGATTACCGTGTCTTCTATTTCCAATGTAGATTCAAGAAAGTTAAGTGATTTGGGGTATCAACCATCTATAGAGTCTGTTAGGTTGGGGGTTTCAAGTAAGGGAAAGGAAAGCATCTCCCTTGATACACTTTCAAAGTGTTTGACTGTTTGGTTGAAGTTTTATTGGTTTATGTTCCACTTTACCCTGGTTTGAGTCATCTTGATTTACCTACTCCCCTTGGGACAAGAATGGCCCTAATCTCTTCCACACCTCTCCATCACCATTGATATACCACCACGGATGCAACTAAAGATGGTTGTGGGCCCTACTGGTCCCATGTGCCTTGGGCCTGGCTAAGCACGTCCCACTTATGAGTAATGAGACCACTCGCTATGTGGTGTGCCGAAATTTTGAAATGGCACATTGCCATGTGCCACTGTGCTTGTGTGCGTAAACCAAATTTAACTTATTTCCGGGTGCTTTGTCTTGTCATGTCTTGTTGTGCTTCACCCAAAAAAAGAAGGAAAAAAAAAGAAGTGGCCAAGGCCCATGGTGCTGTATTTCGGGCCCAGTGGCATCTTTAGATGCAACTAGCATCCACCTTTATTGTTGCGCCATTGGCTGTGATTTTGATCTGAAGTGTCGGTCAATCTCCAGTTAGTTTATTCTAATATTAAACATAATGGTGCACAAGAACTTCTGAAGAACTCTGCCACTGCTGTTATCAGTAACAGACAAGAGAGAACAATTTATAAGGCCCTAGAAACTGGAACATGGTGATGAAATTTATCTCTAAGTAGCTAGATTGGAGAGACAGTATGGTAAAAGGTAAGAGTGCTTATCAAAGCAGCTGACAGCAGTATACATTACTCTGTTGGATAGTTGATAAGGCCGCAATGTGGTGCTTGTTGGGGTTGCTTGAAGGTTAATAAGACATCGTTTCTTTCTTCCGATCTTTTAGCCAAACAAGTGATTGAGGAATTAGATTTATATCTTGTTGGACCAAACATAATGTTACATTTCTCTTTCATGGTTCCTTTCCCCAATTCCCTCGCCCGTTTCCTTTCCTTGTGAAGTTGTGATGAATTGAATGGCCCCTTACTGATTCTATATTTTCCAAAAAAGGGTCTGGAACTGAAAATCTTTAATGTGCCGTTTACATGCCTCAGAAAGAGGGCTCTGTGGAAAGCACTGTTCCTATTGCTTTATTTGAGCTGTTTCATAGTTAAAAATAAATAAATAAATAAAAATCCCTACTTGTTACAAAATTTTGGATTAACAGCCACCTTCGCCAGCCCAACAAAAAAAAAAGGAAAAAAAAAATCCTTTAGAGAATAAGTGTGTAGCCATAAAAGAGAAAATTACGATAAAATTTTTCGTGTTTATCTGGGATAGAATGTGAAACAAGAGCTAAATTCCCTCTTTGTATCTCTTATTCTCAATAATGTGGGAAACTAAATGTCATGCTACTCTGATCTGGTTTTTAGAAAAGGTGGCTGTATTTTGTGGTTTGGTGGCAATGACATAGGATTGCATAGCATAGGATCCATAGGGGTTTATAACAATCAGTCCTCTGTACTTTTCTTCTGCTTTTTTCTGTGTTGCGTAAGGATTATTTTCTCCCTGTCCTTCTGCATGCTGTACTGATGCAGAAATTTCATTGACATTGGTCTATCAAATGGTTAGGATTTTGACTATGGAAACAAGACCTTGAAATTATTCCTCTAGATGGTTAAATTTTGTTGATATGAATTATTTTTCCCATAGAGTAGATTATGTAAGCAATTTGGAATTATACAGAACCCATGCCTAGTGAACGATGATGCATGTGCTTTGAATTAATTTAGTGAGTTGAAAGAGGATTCTTATTTATAAGGGCTTTGGTCTCTCTTAACCGCCTGATACTTTATTGTAATCCATCTTGAAACCAATTTTATGAAAAGAGACAATCCCTATCTAATAAGAAGGTTGATCATGTTTAGTAAGCACTATTATCATCAAGAAGTGGCTTTAGGGCCTATGAATACCATTAACTTTTATATGGAAAATTATTCTGTAGGCAAAGTTATAACTTCTTATTCCCTTTGATCCTGAATGTTCTTCTGATTTGGAATTTAAACACTACTAACAATTTAAGAGAATCTTCTAAATTCTTTCCATTATATAAGAAAAAAACATGATCAAGTGTGTCTAGTTTGATTTGTCTCCATGAGTACTTTTAGAATATCAAAATTATATAGTTTTTACTAACATGTAATTAGGGATGTTAACGATTTAAAATGTGCATTGACAAAAGCATCAAAGTGAACTAAGAAAAACCTAAAGGATCGGAGGGAGCAATAACTAAAAATCGATTTCAAGTAAAGGTGTAGAAATTAGATATTTATGTATAGATTTTCACAAGTAAAATCGCTAAAAACCAGGGGTGCAATCAAGGGTGGGAAAGTTGGGGGTTTGCAGAGGGCATGGCCACTCCTATGGCCCTGTGAGCTTGTGGCTAATAAAAATAATGTGGCTTTGTTTAGTTATATCAAGCGTGAGTGATGGATTAAAGTCTTCCAAAAGATAATTTGTTTGTAGGTCTAAGAACATAATTATACATTGATCCGTCAAGCTGAATTGAGTTGTATATTCCGTTATTGTTTCAACTCCAAAATAATCATTGTGCGGCTTTGTTATTCTGCCAATTTTATTTCATAATATACCTTGGCTATAAAATTATACAAATAAAAGACAAACTTGAAGTGTTGTATTCTATTTGTTGAAACTGAGTGAAGTGAACATTAATTTGTTGAGCATAAACTTGAGCATCACTGAATGGGAAGCAATTTTGTAATGTTGAGAAGAGGATGTGAAGTGCCTCGAACTTGGCTTGGGTATATAACTTTGTTTCAGGGTTGCTGAGAGAAACGGGTTAGAGTATTAGTTGACATCAGATATAAGTGCATTTTAGACATGATTTATCTTATTTTATATATTTTTTTTTTGACAACCAAAAAAAATAAGAGAAAAGAGCTTAAGGCTTTATCCTAGCAGAGACTGGCAAGTTGTGTGGCCCAGCAATTACAGATCTTGCAACTTTTAAAATTGTAAAAGATGAGAAGGAATTAGTTCTATGTTTAATTTCCTTGATAATCTACTTGATTTTCCTCCATGCCGTTTCTACATGATGGATGCTTCTGATCAAGGCATCTGAGTCACAGTCCAAACTTCAATAGCTTAATTAGAGATGCAGGGGCTGTCAATCGCATGGAGAATAGCAAGGGCCTAAGTTTTTTTTTTTTTTTTTTTTTTTTTTTTTTTGGGGGGGGGGGGGGGATTGCAAATACAGGAGTGCTATGTTCAGATTTGCTGAACCCTAGAACCTTCTAAGTTTTTTGCACTATGTTGAGATTTACTTGGGTTACAATTGAATTAATGCATTTTCTGGTATTGTTTCATGTCTTCTAATTAGCCCAAATCATGCAATTTTACAGTTACATCATTTTGGACTGCTCTCAGCTTCTTATTGTTCTTTGCTTACCCAACACCTGAGGTTCCAACGCCAAGCTTTGAGTTCCATACCGCCTTCAATGGTGTTGCATTTGGCATTGTAAGTGTCCTTTACGAGCTTAAAGTGTCATTGTTTATTTCATTTAATTGACACTGGGTTTTCTGAAACTAGGTGTCTATGCATTCTAGAAATGAGGTTTTCGTGTTTCTGTTAAAAGTAACTCTAGCCTTTAAGTTGGTGATAGAACAAGAATATAGTTAAGAGAATAGTGAGAGAAGAATAGAGGATCATCTTATTCTTGAAGATAATAGTGCCCTTAATGAGGGCTTGGCCTACCCCCAATCCTATACTCCGTGTTATCTGTTGCATATGCCTAGCTTTCCTATGAATTCTCTGAAAAAAAAAATAAGACAAAGGGAAAAGTGTGGAGTGATCTTTGTATTTTGCATGTAATATGGCAAACGTTCAGTACGAGTGGCGAGACACTCATCTACCTACTCTCAGAGAGGCATTGTTACTTAAAAGTACGATTAGTTTCTAGCATTGTGTCAGGGTATTTTGGTGCTTTCTCGAGGTTTTTGTATAATAAATACAAACTCTACTGTTGTGAATTTCTCTCCAGCTTATTCACGATGTACATTGTTAAAAATAAATCAATTACGTAGTAATATTTTTTTCAAAACAATGTTTATGTACGTTGTAACATGATTTTATATGAATTGTTTTGTCAAGGTTTCTGGGGTACAACAGACATATTACCAATTTCACCATGAGGATGTGCCACGCCTTTTTACCTCTACACTTGCAGCTCCCACCTTTATGGGGCGGATCCTTGTGGGTATTCCCACCATCCTACTGGTGAAGTATTGCAGCAAGGCCTTGGCAAAGTGGATTTTGCCAGTGGCATTGAATACAATGGGTATATCTGTAAGGTCGACGACTTATCTTCCTGCTCTTAATGTATCTACAACTGGTAAAAATTCAGACAAAACCAAGCAGCAATCGGGGTACCTTCAGAAAATATTCTTCGCTTCCCGTGAGGATTCTTTCGATATTGACACAGGAATCAGATTTATCCAGTATGCAGGCCTTGCGTGGTCTGTGGTTGATCTTGTTCCATCACTATTTTCTCAGCTCAATTTGTGATTAGTATATTTTTGGCATTTATCTGTAGAGGCATCTCCGTATCTGTTGTTTAACCCCTTGCTTGGGAGGCAAAAACATTCCCTTAGTAAGTATATATTCAAATATAATTTTTACACGAAAATTGATTCATTAATTGAATATATAACATCTAGACACAAGTAACCAAGTAGGACTTGTTTAGTTCAACTTATTTTTACTTGTTTTAGAAAAAATAAGTTCAGATTAGTGATTAGATAAGAAAATATATGTTCAAATCAGATCACATCAGAAAAAATAGGTTTAGATCATATCATTGTTTTATGTATGGTTTTTTATAATTAATATCTTTGTTCTGTAATGAATTTTTTTTTTTATTAATATTACATATTTATACAAATCTAATAAAATTTCACTTGATATATTTTATTTCTTCATAGATTATCATGTACATAGATAAAGTTTGGTTAAATCATACCATCAGAGCAGACCATATCATATTAGATATGCATAAATAAGGCTTAATTCACTTGGCAAGGCTTCTTTATCTCTAGAGATTTAAGGTTTGAATTTTGCCAAGTGAAGGCACTTGGGGAGTTGGGGGGTGAGAATCCTCTTACCTTTCCCTACTTCCAAATGTTTGACCATAAATATTGGACCAATAAATCCGCAAATATTATATTGGATAAATTTGACAATTAATATACCTTGTAAGTTTTCTTCAAAAAAGAAAATACCCTATAAGGGTCTGTTCTGATACGATTATTTTTAGTTTAGTTTAGTTCAGCTTAGCTCTAATAAGTTTAGTTTAATTCAGTTCAGCTCCTAATTTTCTTCTCTTATAAAATATTAAATTCAGTTCAGTTCAGCTCTAATAAGTTATGTTCAGTTTAGTTCAGCTCTAATAAGTTCAGTTCAGCTCAACTTAACTCTAATAAGTTCAGTTCAGTTCAACTCAATTCAGTCAATTAGAACATGCCCTAAATTCTACAAGTTTTAAAGGAATAACTTTGTGTTTACCATCCTATCTTGAACTCTATTTTCAAATCAAAAATCACCACCAACTAGAGGAGGCAATGGGTCAGGTTAGAACCAAATTCGTGGATCTAAAGTTTTAAGATCTAGGATCCAGGATCTAAAGTTTTAGGACTCAAAGGAAGCAACCTTGTTTAATTTAATGCATTTAATTGTTGTCAAAATATATAAGGTTGTGTTTGGTAAATAGCTTATTTGACCAACATTAGCTGATTGAATATTGACCAACATTAGCTTATTTGGTAAAGAGCTTATTCCACTCAATAAACTCTTTTTCAAAAAGCTCGTTTTAAAAGCGTTGTTATTAGTTTATTCAATATCTTAAGATGATGTAACACTTACACCCCCATTTAATTTAAAATCCTTTCTTAACTGCCTACACTCAGCTTATTGGTCATTTCACATACTCAAACATCCTTAAACAATCATCTATTTACCAAATACTTTTATATAATCAACTAATAAAATAAGTTAATACAATCAGCTAGCTAAAATTAATTAACACAATAATCAGCATTTCACTAAACACAACCTAAGAGTGTGTTTGTTGGTGAGCTTTTTGGTGAAAAAGTAGTTGATTTAACCAATTTTAGGTGATTGACCAATTCAATAAGCTAATTAGGGTGTTTGCATGGTGGTTAGCTAATTTGAAGACTTGATCCCACCAAATTAAATAACCTTGAGGAGCTTTTTCATTAGCTTATTCAAGTTTATTATTTGGTGAAATGACAATTATATCCTTATTTAACCCAATAACCCTTCCAAAATTAAATACGTCAATAAATTTATGGGTTATTTTGCAAACTCAAATAACTTAACCAATTAGCTATTTACCAAACATTTTTATTCAATCAGCTAATAAAATCACTTAGTTAAATTAGTTAATACAATTAGTTAGTCAAAATCAGTCAATACAATCAACTTTAACTTTTAGTTTTCCACCGAACATAACCATAATTGTTTGTATTTATAGATTCATGAGAACATAATAGTGTTGTTCTACTATGTATTTGCAGATTGTGATATACTCATATTACTGTGGAAACAATATTTTAAATGAGCAAGATTACCATTATAATTTCCTTTCGTCCCATACTAAAGTGTCTATTCTATTTTTTGTGATCTTCAAGATGCGTTTTGACCATCAATATCTTTGATAGAATATTAACAAAAATTAAGAAAAGCTAATATCTAAATTAAAACGCATTGAGACGTATTCAACGATATCTCACATAACTATATTTTTTGTATAAAAATGATGAGAATATTTGGTCAAAAAAAATTTGACAATGAAAATAAAAATAAGACTATATTGTGGGACACAGAGTAGAATAAGTATAACAGAATTTAACAACTGTGCTACAAAATGGAGTGTTTATTCTTGGTTTTTAATGTGTCTAAGATCAAGTTAAGGTATTTAATAAAGAGGGTTTAATCAATCATCGGTATACTGTGGAGTTTTAATGGTCATAGTTATGTAAATTGGAAGATGAAGAAACTTGGAAGTATATGGGGTGATAAAAAATAAGTTTGATAAAACAAGTCCTTGAATAGTTGAATGGCTCGAAGAAGAACGATTCAAGTTCTTACTAAGAATAATGCTATATGTAGCCCTAAGGGCTATATATAAGCATTAAAAATACTATTAAAAATTGTATAAATTTATGAATTCATGATAAAAACACGCGTAAATTAGTATAACTAGTGTTTATATTTTTATGATTTTTAAACTTTTTACGATTTTCTAATGTAAATTTAATGCTTATATGTAGCCCTAACCTAAAGGCTATATATAACATTTTCCTTAAAATAATCATACAAGATGTGAGCCTAATGAAAGGAGGGCCCTAGTCGTTGCTTAGTGAGCTCCCTTATAACCAGCCCTATCTTCAATAATATGCATGCTGAGAGGTTTCCTTTTTTCTCATGCATTTGATTGAAATACATGTTTTGCGTGTGTGACAAATTTGTCAATGTGTTGTATGCAAATAATTTTAGGCATGTGAACTCATCCATGCCCGAACATTTCAAGCACTAGGTTGAAATCATTCGTGTGAACAATAATGATCTTCAATTTTTCTTCCCACTCTAGTACACCGCCAACATAATGTACACTTATTTCGCCGCTACACCTTGTACTGATTTGAATTCGAAAATCATAAGTTGTGATAATTTGATTCGAGTGGCCAAATAACTCAATTAAAATAAATCCTCCCATACATGAAGTTGTATTTTACAAAGAATTTGCCAAAATATAACACCTAAACATGGGCACGGGCCGTGCCCGTGCCGCGGTGGGAGCCGTGTCGTGCCGGCTCCGCGGCGGGCCGTGTCGTGCCGTGCCTGAAATTGTTACACCCCAGCCCACGGCACGGCACGGCCCACGTGCCTTGCGGGCCGTGCCGTGCCGGGCCGTGGGCCAAACCGTGCCACCCTTTTAGTTATTTATTTATTTTTAATAAATGAAAAAAAAAACGAATTAAACGATATATATATTTTTTAGTACAACTTAATATATGTGATTAATTTATGTTTATGTTAATGTTAATATATTTTGTTTTCATTTTTTGAACAACTTTATTTTAATTTAGGTTATATAAATTATTTATCTGATTAATAATTATGTTTAAGTTTATTTAAACAAATAAAAACAATTTTATTAATTTAGCAAAAAACAACAATGCATATAATAAAAAAAAATACGAGTGCGATAATCCGAAAACACAAAAAATTGAAGAATAACTTATTTTATTATATGACGGTAGCCAGTACGAATGTACGATAATTCAATAATACAAAATAAGTAATGATAATTAAAAATCGTTGTAGACACCCATTTGTGTCTCCCCAAAACCAAACCCAGTGATGAGTACCTTTCATGTCGAATCATAATCGAATGAAACGAAAGTGTGGAAAGGTCTAGTGTTGCGGAAAGATTTTTATTTCTTTTCTCTTCTCTCTGTTTTTGAAAACTTTATTTTAAGAAAACAACCAATCCAGTTTGGTTGGTCCATGATATGGGTCCAATAGTAGTGTAGTTGGATGGGGCTTGCAAAGACCTTTCCAACGATATATTATAAGCCCGATTCCGATGAATATTAAGGAAGTTATGGCCAATTTACTAAACTGGGCCCGGTTTGAGATTTATGTACGGCCCAATGATCTAGGGGAGGGCCTTCTAAAATCTTCTAGAAGGTTCTTTTCATTCCTAATTCAATTAGCATTGATAAGTTGACTTTGTTGACTTTTCAGAGTTTTAATCAAAATCAAATAGCATTTTCGAAGAAATTATATTATTTTATCTTCCACTACGGTAAACTTATCGGATTTTCGAAAACGCGTTGGAATCAAGACTGGCGTCCAACCCCAGGCCTTGGCGCCTGGAACCAGGCTTGGCGCCAGGCGCTAGCCACTGGTGCCTGGCGCCAGCTAGCCAGGGTTGGCGCCAATCTTATTTCCTGAGCGTCAGACTCTGTTTTGTTAAATTATCTTTTTTGGCTAATTTTCTCTATAAGTATCGTATCAAAAACTCCGTTTTCATGGATCATCTACATCTATCATTCACAAACTCTCCTCAATCATTAATTCTTTAGCATTCTTTAATTCATTCAATTCTTTCTTACTTTTTCATACAAAATTCCGCATTCACAAGATCTAGAAACACCTAGCCATATTCGAAGTTGCCTTCGTCCTAGACGTGAAAGGTTTTAATTTCTGAGGGTTTGATCCCAAATCTCTCTTTCAATTATTTAATTTAATTGCTTTGATTATTATTTTCCTTGAAGTTACTAACGTGTGTATTTTGTTATTAGAAAGAGGTACGAAGCATCAAAGTAAGTACTTTAATGGTTTTTATTGATATTATGATGTAGACAACATGTTTATATTGTTATTATGATGTTCCTAGTATCATGTCTAGGTTAATTTTAATATTAAATATGATTGTTACGATGCTTCCTATGTTCTTCCTAATATTTATAATTGTTAGTATCATGTTAGGGCTAAAGATTTGATTTTTATTGCTTAGTGACATGCTAGGGTTTGTTATTAATCTTGTTAGTATCATGCCTAGGATCTTGCTCTTTTTATTATGCTTTAATATTAA